AAAAAGAAAAGAAATCTCAAAGCAAAAACCACATCAAAACACAGATCTCACTAAACCCCAGAAGCTCTGATCCCACCACAGTAACCTTTCAGCCCTAACCACCCTTAATGTGGCTGACGTGTGCATTTCAGTGGTAAGGAGTAAGCAAGCAAGGGTGGTGCAGTGTCTGCCTGGTCCTGAGTTCAATTTCTGGTACCCAAAAAACCTCCCCCCCAACCTACAAAAAGCCAAACAAACCCCAAAGTCCTTCAAATTGAAGACATTATGAATCATCCTCAGAAGATAGATCTACGTTGCTGATGATTCTGGCCATTAATAAAATAGAACCTGTTCCATGGCACAGTGACAGAACCATGAAATAGTAGTCAGACGCCATGTGACTGGCAGCCATGGCCTGTAAGAGGTGGCTGCAGGTTGTGCCTCACCGTGTGGCTGGGGAAGGAGCTGGCAGAGGGTGTCCCCTTCCCTGTTCTGTCTCTTCCTCTTCCTGGAGTGTAAGTACCTGGAAGAGGGCCAGATCTCAGTAGCCGAGCTGGGAGCTGGGTGTGCCTGTGGGCACGGGTGCGTGCGTGCGTGTGGGCCTTGGCGTGTGTGCCTGCTTGCCTCTGACAGTAGTGATAGTGATGAGATGCCCAAGCTGGGCCTGGCGGCACAAGCCTGTGATCCCAGGACTCGGGAGGCTGAAGCAGGAGGACGGCTGTAGGTTGAGGCAAGCCTGGGCTACTGAAGGAGCTCTGGGCCAGCGTGAACTATAGGGGGAGCCCTGTCTCCCCGAGAACTGGGACTATAGACGCCTCGCTGTGCTCCAGCATAGTTATGCTGGAGGCTACATAATGGTATGCACACGTTTCCTTCCTGAGGCGTGTGTGGTCCGGGGTGAGAGGCAGGCATTAGCCAGTTAGTCAGATGTGTGTCTGTCGGGTCTTGACAGACCCACAAGGAAAAGCCAGCAGGCCAGGGGAACTCCGGGGCCCTCACCGTGCGTGGGGTGGGCGCTCGGTAGTTCTGGCATTGAGGCGGTAGTCAGAGTGTAACTAAGAGGCAAGAGCGCATAGGGGAACCTTACTTGGGGGTTTTTGGTTCAGGGCTTTATTGACATGGATTAGGTGTTCGTGAAAATTGACTTTTCTTGAGAGGAGTGATGTACAAAATATTGTTTGATTTTCTGTAAGTTGTTGGAGTTTTTCCTTGTAGACATTACTTTGCTCTGAAATTGTGAACCATGACGTTGGCTTGTTTTTATTTCCAGGAGCTTTCGATGGGAGGCCAGCAGACTATTTATTCATGCTGCTCTTTAACTGGATTTGCATCGTGGTATCCTTCCCTGTTACTTGGGTCAGAAAAGGATCCTTTGTTTTCAGGTTTGAGGAAATGGACAATATTTGTAAAATTCCAAGTTAGTGTTTGCATCTTTGTTTACTATAGTTAATAAGAATAATTAAAGTTCTTAAAAACTAGTAGATCGTCTGGCCATTGAGAATAAATTCTCCTGCCATTGCTTTTGTAGGAGTTTTTCACATTTGGCTGAGTTTTATCACTGTGCCTTCTTGTTCTCAGTTCTCTGTGTTCTCATGGGTGACAGCTTGTTGATTGAAGCACAAAGAGATTCTGTGCTGAGAGACAGCTTTAGAAATCTATGTTTCTTATCAGAAAATTAATTTATGCCAGCATCCGTCTCTGACTTTATTGTTTTCTTTCTTTTGGGGTCCTCAATAGTAATTCATTTCCTCTCTAAAGCACCCAGTACTAAATACAAAGCTTTGGCCAAGCAGTCCCACAGTCCATCTCGCTGCTTTGTGACAGCCGCAGTTGTTAGCACCCTTCCAACACTAGGGCCCTTGCAGATGGTGCTGACAGCGGAAGGGGCTTGGCGGCTCAGTCCCTGGGTAAAGTTGGTGAGTAATCCCAGTGGCTGGTGGACTCAACCTCCACATAAGTTGGCCAGGAGCCAGGAAGTGAAGGACTTTGGATCCCCTTTCCTAGCTTTTGAGGGAGTGGAGAAAGAAGGCCTTGGACTTCAGCAGTGCTGTAGACCGAGTGTGAGCAGATTCACCGAGTGCTTCAGATGTGCAGGCTTCTCCACCCTCTTCCTGCAGGAGAGATGCTAAGACGCAGTGGCAGGCACGGGAAGGAGGACACCCCAAGGCCTGGCGAGTCGTGCCGAGGCCGTCACCTTCTGCATCTCTCCTTGTGGTACAGCCTAATGGAACTGTGATGAGGGTTATCAGAACCTTTGTGCTCTCAGATATTTAAGTAAGCTGAATGGCAGAAAACTGGATGGGTACAGAATACTTTATTATTGATCTTTAACGTCACAAACCAAGATTACGGGCTTGGCAATGGATATGCAGGTAAGTGTCCCTTTAAACTGCTGAATGTATGATTCAGACTTGCTCTTAGTAGCCCTTGATAGAAGTGCGAATTAATTATGTGATGGTTTGGTATTGTGAATTTACGGAATGACATTCTATTTTGGAGATTTTAAGTCGTATGAATTTTTGAAGCTCACATGAGTTATCTAAATCATTGTTTTTCTTGCTCGTTGTTGGTTGTTGTATTATGTTTGAATATGGAGAATAATGAGTGCAGTGTTTTCTAAGTATATGTAGGGATTTTTTTAAAAATTGAGATTATATGGTAAGTAACGCCTACTTTTTGCAAATAACAGCTTGATTTCAATATTTGAGTTCATCTACAATAATTGTGTTGTATTTTATCATAGGACTCTAGCTTTCTTTGTGTAAGTTAAATAATGGGACTAATTTGCAATTCTTGTGAGTTGAATTTCCTTTTACTTTTTGAATATTAACCTAAGAAATTGTTTTTGGAGAGGAGAAATGAAAAGTGTAGTAGATTATGGCAAGCCTTTGTTCACACTACGGTTCCTAGAGCCGTGTTTACATGTCACTTCTTTTGCAGTTGCTGATGATCCCTCTGATCATGTCAGTACTTTATGTCTGGGCGCAGCTGAACAGAGACACGATTGTGTCATTTTGGTTTGGAACACGATTCAAGGTACTTGACCTGAGCTGGAAAAATCCATTGCATAACTCTCGCGTTTGGAGCTATACTTCTTGGCTTGGCCAGGAGAGGGCACTGCAGAGCAGTGTAGTAGGCAGGCCCTCTCCCCTCCTGGATGAACCCAGAGTTCTTTGCTGTTACTTCCCTGGCTCCTCAGGCCTGTCAAGGCTGTGTGTGTGTGTGTGTGTGTGTGTGTGTGTGTTTCCTTTATGTGCTTAACATTTTATCAAGACAGACTTTTTTTTTTTTTGTTTTGGCCTCCAAATACTTCCCTTGGTACCTGATGTCAGTTTGTCATTTATAACTTTCTGGGTCTCTTCCCTGTATAAACCGTACCCATTATGGACTGAACATATACTTTTTTTTTTCCTCCCGTAATCTTACTGAGAAATAACAATGAGACAGTTTCAAATCAAATTGGTAGGACAGTTCCAATAATTAACACATTGCATACTGTCTTCCTAGTGGTTGTTTGTTGTACAAGATGCAGAAATGATATCCTGTTTACAAATACTATTAGAACAAATGCCTCTATTCCTGTAATTAAGAGAATGTAGCTGTACATCTGTCCTAACCACTTTGAATACACAGATACAAAATGATCATTCATCTATATCCCCTTTTTTGTTTAGTTCCATCATTTAAATATTATAAGTGTGTGAACTCAGCAAAATATTCCAAATAAGGACTGAGCGTATACTGAGCATGCAGTCTCTTGTCTGGAGCTAGGCAGACTTGGCTTGGCTTTTGCGGTCCCCTGTGTTCTTTTAGTGTTTAGCTGAGTGCCTAAGTTACCTAGGTGCAGCCCTTTCTTACTAGTTTGTGAAGATCCGTGCAGCTCTCTTGGCCTTTGGTGTCAGGTCTTGAATCAGCTAGGGGCTCACATCACATGTTGGGTTCCATCAGCAGAATTATTCAGGGTATCAATATGTGATCAGTTACCATTCAGGGACACTTTGTTACAGCCCACTGCCTGGCATCTGAGCGTGACTGTCCTGGCCGTGCTGTTAGTAGCACCCTGAGACGCCGGCCTCTGCCGCTTGCTGTCAGCGTGCCTGGCAGGACCTGGGTCACATCTGGGCTGTGGCAACATATTTTGCTTTCCAGTTACAAGTACACAGATAAGTATAGTTCTACATATAAAACTTTTTTTTTTTTGGCGGAACCGGGGATTGAACTCAGACCCTTGTGCTTGCCAGGGACACGCTTATTCTACTGAGTCATTTCCTTGGCCCAATACAAAACTTCATGGGCTGGCCAGTTATCTCAACGGATTAAAGCACCTGCTTAGGTAGACGTAGGGGCTGGGGTTCGATCCCCAGCCTGCCTCGCTGACTCCGCCCCTGGAGAGTGCCGAGACATGGATTGAAATGATTTTTTTTTTTTTTTTCTCCGAATGCCTTCAAGGCATGACTGGCTGTCTTGTGTTGTGGGGATCGAACCACAGCAACCTGAGCCTGACTGCTTTGTTGAAGCAGCCACTTAAAGAACTGAGCTAAGGGCCAGGCCCCCTGGAGACATGGATTGAGACTAGGCGTAGTAGCACGCACCTGTAATCCCAGTGCTTGGGAGGCTGAAAAACAGGAGGATCACTGTGAGTCTGATCTGTGTAGTGAGACCCTGTATTAAATAGATTGAAAAGAAAAGCAGATAACTTTTAAGTATAGAAGTACAGCTGGATTTATATTTTTAAACTGACTTTATTTTTTTAATATTTATTTATTTTTGCTTTTTTGAGGCATGTTCTCGCTGTGCAGTTCAGGGTGGCCTCAAGTTCAGTTGTAGCCCAGGCTGGTCTCAAACTTGCAATGATACTCCTGCCTCAGCCTTTTGAGTGCTGGGATTATAGACATGCACCACCATGCCTGACCTAACTTCGGGTTCTCTTTTTTGTTGTTGTTGTTATGGGGAATCAAACTTGGGACCTTGTGCATACCAGGCAGGTGCTTGTGCCACTGAGCTATGTCCCTGGCCCAGAGTGCTGCTGGATTGATCTGCAAAGTTTGCAGTGACCTCCCGAAGAATTTATATAAAGCCCCTGTCAGTTATATATCCCACGTCAGTCCTCTTGTAGGTAGCTCTGTCGTCTTCAGGTGTAGCTGTTTATGCTTGTGTATATTCTTTCCTAGGCCTGTTACTTACCTTGGGTCATCCTTGGATTCAACTATATCATTGGAGGCTCGTAAGTGATACTAGATTTAATAGAAACTAATCTTTGGAAAACTTCCATTTACCTTTTAATCTTTATGAAAGTTAAAAATCTCAATATTGATATATTAGAACATAATGGCTATGTTTGATATAATTGGTTAAATTGCACAGCTTTAAGTATATTGGACATTGGATGGTTCTAATCTTTTTAGTTTATCAGTAGATACAGTATGTTTCTACACGTTATGCTTTTTTTTTTTTTTTTTTTTGCGGAACCAGGGATTGAACTCAGGCCCTTGCGCTTGCCAGGGAAGCGCTTATTCCACTGAGCCATCTCCCCGGCCCTTTGCGTTATGTTTGAAAGCACATGTTTCTGGATTCACCATCCAGACCAAACAAAGACACGTAACTAGTGTCTGAGTTGAGTCCTATAAGAGCTTTCCTTAAAATTAGTGCTCTTTGTTTTTCTGGTATTTCTAGAATGCTTTAGAGACTGTTCACCATCAATAGAAAAGCAGATTCTTCATGGAAAGTAGTTTTGTAAGTGGTTTGAGGGTGTGGATGTTTGGCCAACCCGTACATTCCTAGTTTGTTGATCAGTAATTAGAACTGAGGCTTAGAGGGAAAGTAACAGCCAGGCACACCTGTAATCCCATCAGGCTCACAGGCTGAGGCAGGGATTATAAGTTTAAGATGAAAAAATGGGCTGCAGCTATTCTAAGATTGCTATTTTTTTTAAATATGAAGCATTTTCAAGCATTTAATGATTTTAATACTGCGAGTTCTTCGTACAGCTGACACCGCTGCCTTGTGTGGCCCCAGCCTCTGTGTTCCGAGAGGAGCGGGTGAACTGAGCGCGCAGGCTCGCGGGCCATAGCACTTTGCGGTGTGCTCCTGCAGCCTTCCCAGCCACAAGGCAGAGTTTGGAAGTCGCTGCCTTGATCTGTCCCTGACAGGAATGGTGTTGGAGGCCCAGAGGAGAGTGAGAGTAGATCCATAAAATGCTGAGGGGACCTCTCTGTCAGCCAGGGGGAACCCGAGCTTTGAAAGTTGAAGGTCAGCTTTCCCAACACTCTAGGACACAGATGGGACAGGGCATGCAGTGCTCCAAGGGTGGGGGATAGGCGTTGTACTGTCCTTGTCCTCTCAGTAGCCTGCTCGCCTGTGCTTCACGCAATAACACTCATGGTTGAGTGCGCTTGGGGGTCTGCTTTGGAGTTCCCTCACTCCTGAGGAAGGGAGTAACGGAAACAGTGTCTTGAGGTGGGCTAAGCTTGAAAGAGATGTCAGAGGGGCTGCTGGATGCAGGAGCCATGGCCCGTGTTGTTTCCATAGTCACTTTCCTCTCCTTCAGGTGTGTTTGTCACTGTGACATTAGAAAGGGCCTACTCTAGCGCTGTTGCAGACCCCAGGGGCTTAGGGGCTCAGCGGAGACCTCATCCCCATGCTGTTAGCTGAAACTGAGGGCATCTCTCATTATTGTTTGAATGTCTTTAATTTGGTTCTCTTTACAGGGTTATCAATGAGTTGATTGGAAATCTTGTTGGACATCTTTATTTCTTCCTAATGTTCAGATACCCAATGGACTTGGGAGGAAGAAATTTTCTAACTACACCTCAGTTTTTGTAAGTGTTTTCCCTCCTACTGAATAGGCTCCCTGGCGTCTGTGCTCTCAGGTTTCTTAGTAGGCTCATGATCGGGGGTCTGAGTCATCTCCCATCCTGTGGAGAAACTGAGCCAATGAATGACTTGCCGGGTCATGGCTACAGGAAGTCTGAGGCGGAAGCCAGCGCCTCTGCATGCGTTGCCCGTCAGCTAGGGGCCGCTGCTGACCAGGCTCAGCTCAGGCAGCACAGCCAGCAGACGTGCTCTGTATTGCACCAGGGCAGGGATGGGAAGTGGGGACTCGGAGCCGGCAGAGCCCTGGGATGCCAGGGTCACTTAGCGTCAGTTTCGCTCAAGGTTTCTGTTGAGGAAGGTACGGTTGATATTTTAGGATTGAAATTTTGTAGGCCTACCTCCCAGCCCTACCAGCAGTTACCTAAAGCCTGCAGGTATCAGTTTGCAGTCTGGGAGCAGGTGAGGGTGAGGGCAGATCAGCGTGGCACGGAATGGCTGGGAGCTGACACCCTGAGGTGGGGATGGGGTTGATGAGCTGAGGCGAGATGCGGACACACTTGTGCGCGGGAGAAGCAGGCCGCTCGCTCTGTCAGTGAAGCAAAAGGCTGTGGGAGAAGGGACCAGCTAAATCGCCATCTGGGTGTCACAGCCTGTGGGACAATCACGCCTAATCGCGTGTCAGGGACATGCAGTAATGGTTTGCATTTAAAAGCTTAAAAAACCACCAACAAAACCCCCTTTCATGTCTTGCTCATTTTAGTGTTCTGTGCTTCTGTCCTCATCCAAGGGGTCCGTGTAGGCAGCGAGCTCGAGTCTGCTCCTCCCGCCTCCCCACACGTTAGAGGAGTGCTTGTGGAAGGCTTTTTATTGTGGGCCACAGTAACAGAAGAGCAGAGCAGTGCTGTGATGTGGGTGTGTTTTTTAAAATGTAAGAGAATAACAAGAACTAGTTTCTCTTCTGAGCGTTGGGTTGCCTTCAGGCTGAAAACACAAATGACCAATCTGCTTTTTTCATTTATCAAAGGACATAATAACAGCAGGTTTGAATTTCTCATCTAGGTTTATCAAGTAGGATGGCAGATGCATTGGTTAAAAAAAGTGTGTGCTTTGGGGGGCGGCCAACAGTTATTTTACTTTAAATGGCCTCACTCTGACTTAACGGCTTGTGGTTACTTCTTAATTGTGAGCAACCCAGTGCACAGGGTTCTCCAGGCAGAGTCGGCAGCATGCGGCAGCGTGCGAGGCTGCCCTCACTGGGGCTTTCTCTGTTGGTAGAAGCCCTTCTGTTAAGTTTTGCATAAAGATCAAAATGTAGCTCCTTGCAGAAGCAGTAACTGCTTCAAAATTACCATAAATTTTTGTTGATTATGTATAATTGGGTATCTTTTTATACTAATTACTTGCATTTAATTTCACTATTTGCTTAAGCAAAGAAGATGGCTTCCATATTGTCTTAGTGTAAGCAGCAGGGCAAGACAGCCCTGGTTCTGCCTTGTAAGTGCTCTCTTCCGTTACGTACATTGGAGGAGTGTTACTGTACCAGATGTAGCTGTTAGGAGCCCAGTGCTTGGAATGCACTTTGGTTTAATGATAAAGCTATATTTGCTCAAGGGTAAGAGTTGAGTCCTGAACTCCTAAGATGATTAGAATTGTGTATGCCATTTAGAAGTGCATCCTCTCCTGTGTACAGTTAATCTGTACAGGAGTAGCCACTGCCTTTCTGGGAAGGAATGCAGTGGGCTCAAGGATGATGAGGACTCCGACCCCTGACTGTGGTCTGGTCCTAGCAGGAGGCGTGCCTTGCAGAAGGCAGCGGTCCGTGCAGCTGCCCGGGCCATTGTCTTAGCTCTCTTGAAGAGCAGCACTCAGTCTTGCCCAGTATTCATTTATAAAACAAGGGTGATCCTCCCGTAATGCCCATCGCCAGGGTTTGTTGTAAAGTTGGATGAATTGGTGAATTTGCAGCCATGGAATAAGTACATACTGTGGCCCATATGTTATGTCAACATGTGGTCACATAGGAGCTGTTCCGAATGGGAAGTCACCTGCCATGGCTTTCCAGTGCTGCGCGGGGCTTAGCTAGGGGCACCCATTGACATTAGGATCTAATAAGCGGACTAGATTTAAACACATTCTTGCTTTCCTAGGCAAGGACTGGGAATAGTGAGAACTGCCACGGGAAGCACGGACTGGTTTGATTTTTCTTAGCTTACCGTAACTCCTGTTGTGGTAACTGGTATACGAGAAATCGTCAGACCTTTTTGGACCTCTGCTTTCCCGCCAGCTAGGAGCTGTGAGGGAAGAAGTCAGAGGCAGGTTATGAGTGGACTCTAAAAACATACCCAGACCCACAAGACAGAAAGCGGCCTTGCACAGTCTCCCGTGGTGGGTGCAGCTGAGTGTCGTGGAAGTGCTGTGCATGGATCAACATGCAGCCTGTGCATTTGGCCTTTGGAAGCAAGTTTAGGTTGTAGTTTTGATCCATATTTAGATATACCAAGATGCACTCAGTCATTCTTTCTGGTTGTTGGGCTTGTGGGTGTAATCTTGTTAATACTGTTTTGCATGAATTAACTTTTATAATCAGTGTATTATAGTGTGAATTTAACTGAAAGCTGGATAAAGTTAAACATGAAAAGCAAGTGCCATCTGTGGTCAGGCGTTGAGCTAAAGTGCTAAAAAACAGTTAAATGAGACATTGTCCTTGGCCCTTCTTCAGTGTGACAGATGTCATGGGAACACCCAGGAGAGGGAGCTGTGCCGAATGCTAGGTCCTGTGGCAGTGACTGTGCTCTTTCCTTTGCCTTTGTTTCCCCTCTGCTTCAGGTACCGCTGGCTGCCCAGTCGGAGAGGAGGGGTGTCGGGCTTTGGTGTGCCCCCCGCTAGCATGAGACGAGCTGCCGACCAGAATGGCGGAGGTGGAAGGCACAACTGGGGCCAGGGCTTCCGACTTGGAGACCAGTGACCGAGCTGCCGCTGGCCTGCCACCAGCTGCCCACGCAGCACCTCTTCTCCCAGGGCTGGGTGTGCTTCACAGCTGAGTCCTAGCTAATGCTGTTGGACCTGACCTGCACCGAATGTAGTCTTTCAGTATGAGACAAAGATTTTTAAATCTTGAAGGAAAATACAGGTGTTCCTCAAGTTTCATGATTCTCATTGAAGTCCTTACTGCTATGAAGAACAAATATCAACAGCGCAAATTTCCAAACTGACTCTATTTTGGTGTTTTCACTTTACCCTTTCCATCTGAAAAATGGGTGTTAGAGGTCCTGGTCTGCTGGCACTGAGCTGGGTCTGGGTTGGGCTACAGACCCTGTCCAAAGGATTCTCCTCTCTCTCTTGCACACATACCTCCTTCCTTCTTTTCCCGGCTCCCAAAGTTGCAACTGGAGGGGTTGCTCACAAAATGGCTCTGCCTTTTGACAAACTTTTATTTATTGACTCTGCCGAGGCTTGGTCACAAAGAACTTGTTCACAGGTGTTTTCCCCCTTCAGTGGCAGAACTGTAATAGGGGAGAAGACTGAGCAGTGGATGAAGAGCTTTCTCAGCTTTCAGGATTGCGTCGACCCGACAGCAGTTACAACCATGTGTCACCTCTTCAGATACTTTTGTAAAAAGGCATCGAGTCACAGAGGGGCCAGATTGGTATTAATGAGATTTGATGATTGTTGCTAGGCGGGTCTTTTCCCAAGGAGTGAGAGGGCCGGAGTGGTGTTGCTTCTGCCACAGGGCACAGGTTTCGTGACTGAGCTTCCTGTGTGGGGCATACTGGTGGCGAGCGTGGAGTACTTGAGTTGTGTTTAGAGCTCCAGATCCCGTCGGCCGCAGAGAGCTGATCCTGGGAGAGGCTCCTGGACCTGGGTTCTGGTTGATCTCAGTCTGTATATGCGCAGCGTAGGGGAGGGGAGAACCTCAGACCTTGTTGAAGTTGTCAGTTTTCTCTTGCCTCTGCCTGTTTTGGTCAGGTGTTGCAGGTAATTGTGAGGAAAGTGCAGCTCTCCTGTAGGTTAATCACTTTTTAAAGCTAATAGAAGCACATATGAGTGAATCACACATAGTTTTGGATTGTTAGGGCTTTAGAATCATTTGTGTTTGGAAGTTTTTATGATTTTGAGTCTTGGATGTCCTTGCGTTGTGCATCAGACCAGCTTGACTACCCACACAGGGGCTTCCCCATCAGAGTTTGGCTCATCACCAAATCAAGTTTTTCTGAAGGCTCCAGACATGATGTTTTTGTTCAGAGAGCAGACTTCTGGCAGCAGCGGGGAGTGGCTGCCACACCGAGTCCGCTCACGTGGCTCGAGCGTTTGGATCATTTCTGTTCAGGAAACATGCCCTACCCGTGGCACTGCTCCTTCCCCCACTCTTACTAAGCTGTGATGTGTCTTACGCTAGGAAGTGGGAGTTGGAAGGGAGCTACTCATTTTAAATAAATTTGGGTGTACCTCTCCATGTTGAATGTACGTGGTAAGGTCACGCTTGGGGAGTCTCGGCCTAGACTGGCCATAGTGAACTCACTTGTGACGGTGTTGGAGCAGCTATTCCTGTGGCTTAGGTTGCGCAAGTACTCACTGCCCAGGAGGGGAACCTGGATGATTCAATGGCAAGTGAGCTAGAGGCTCGCGGCCCTCTCACAGCCTGCCTGAGCATGGTAGTATTTTCTAAAGCTCTACAGGTATGTATTTAGAATTCTTTAGTAAAATGTTCATTAAAGTCTTTTAAACAGGAAGTGGATTATTTATTGATCTTGTCTGAATTGCCTGTGTTTCTGGGAACATCTTAACCAAAACAAGTTATATTTGAGTCTTGACTTGGTAAGGCAAGATATAACAGTGGCTTCTCTTTATTACTGAAAAACAAATCCGTATTTTGTATGGACAGTGTCCGCTTTTGTAACTAATCTTTTTTTTATTGGTAAACATTGTAAATTAAAGTGTCCAACTTGAAAGTTGTCTGTGTTACACTTCCGTCTCCTAGACATTGTATGGCTTAACTGGTTGATCTCTGACAAGCATATGGTGGCACCCATGTTTTTGTTGCTTCAGGGACATGGCAGACCCTTTTACACTTGACGTTGTTCATGTATTGGAGAATCTGGGTTCTTAGCCAGATCCGTGGGTTTTCATCCTAATGAAGCAGAATGCTCCTGACTCCAGGATTAGGAGGACTACTGATTGTGGCATACTTTATGGCATCACGAGCGCTGGCCCTGGGATCTGAGCCTAGAACTGTAAAATTAATTTAATCTTTCCATGTAAGGCCCACAGAGACTGCAAAGCAGCTGGTCTGGCATTCCCAAGCCTTTTTTTTTGTCTTAAGGGTAAGCATCTGAGTTGGAGGAATTGTGGTAACGCTTGTCCTAGGATTTGTGACATGATTATCTCATTACAGGGTGGCAAGCAGCAGGCCTGTGCATCCCTCTTCCGATCCTGGAGCAATAGGCAAGATTGCTTGGGAGGAGAGCATATTGCTAACAAAATGGTTGGTCAGCTGCCTTTCATTTGCCTTTGAGACAGGCTCACTAAGTAGTCCAGGCTGGCCTTGAACTCAAAGTCCTCCTGTCTCGGCCTCCTCAGGGTGCAGGATTAAAGATATGTGCCTTTGTCCCTGGCTCTAAGCTACCTTTACTTTAAAAAAAATTTTTTTTGCGGTATTGGGGATTGAACTCAGGACCTTGCACTTGCCAGGCAAGTGCTTATTCTACTGAGCCATCTCCCCAGCCCACTAAGCTACCTTTAGAATCTGGTCTGCAAGTAGCCGATGTTGCAGTTACCTGCATCATCAGTGCCAGCTTTGTCTGAGGTCCCTTTTAGACTCTCAGTAGTAACTGAATACTTGGAATAACAGAGCTTGGCCATTGGGGAGATTACTCTTGTCTTCCTGTATCATCCCCAGTGGGGTGGGTTGAGTGGATTGCAGTTCTGCGCATGCTTTCCTGGGTGGCTGTGGCCTTGGGCTGGGCTTTTCTGTGTGTGGCTTAGGCCTGGGGGTTCTGCACAAGCTCACCTTCCCTCCCGTCCATTCCCAGCTCACATTCATGTACAGTAGTGCCCAGGACCCAGGAACGTCCCATGTGAGTCATGCGGAGTTCTCGTCTGTGCTTTCCCGATCTAGTTACATGTGGGAATGACATGAGGCTTTAAAGAAATGAAAATATCTTGGTCATTCTCATTCTACCAGTTTTCAAAGTTCTTGGTTTTGTTATGTTCCACTGGATTTATGAACTAATGCTTAAATTAACTTGTGAAATAGGTGTTATTTCCCATATTTCAGGTAAGGAAATTTAAGGCCAGTAGGGTTAGTCACTTGGTTAAGATCAAGCAGCTGGAAAAGTGCCAGCTCTGGCTTACCGACCTTGTGCTGCTCCTGAGTGGAGGAAGCCAAAGCGGAGGCCGGGAGGACTGGGCCTGCCTTCAGGGTGTGCTCTCTGCCGAGGTAGATGGGTCGCCTCTCATGGGTACACACAGAGCTGTAGGATGAGCCGAGTTAGGCTATCGCCTGACGCTGCCACGGAAGAGGTAAGTTTAGTGCTTGTCTTGGACAGAGCAGCTTGGTTTTGGCGATGAGTGATTCCACACGGAGATGGGGGAGCCCCTTCACTCTATCTAGCTAGAGGAAGTAGCAAGAAGACCGAGGGCCAGCAATTTTGGGAATAGAGATTAGTGCGACTAGATGCCCAGAGTACAGCCAGGAAGTGGCAGGGACGGGCTGGAGAGGTAGACTGGGGTCTGATCCCGACAGACCTTTTGGGCCCAAGTTGTGCTCAGTCTGTGCAGAAGGGAGCTGCTGCAGAGCAGCTGGCTGCAGCATTGGACACTGGGGGCTGTGGTGGAGGCCCAGCATAGTGAGGGCGGGGCGCTTGAAGGGGATTCAGTGAACCCCGGGCTCGGGGCACTGTCCCACCAGAAATGGGCCAGGTAAGTGCCGCTGATGAGTGCTGCCGCTGCAGCAGCCTGCAGATAAGCTGGCGCTGGGCCTGCCCCGAAGACCTCGCCATTCTTGAGAAGTGTATTTCTGGGGAAAAGTACATGAGCCCCAACACCAACTGCTAAGGGAAACTTTTAGAACATAACTTCCTGTGATGGGGACAGCTCTGTAGAAGGCCCCAGTGATGGAGAAAGAGGTTTCTTGATTCTGTACCATCCCTCGGGGCCAGCCTAGGCTTTCATCGAGAGCTTGATCCAGGCCGGTGGATGGCATGGATGTATCTTCCCCACACCCCACCCGCGCACGTGTGTGACATGCTGGTATCTGAGTCTGCTTTGTGGTGCTCGTGGGTCACTTGCTCGTCGCCTGCCATGGTCTTCACAACAGGACAGGTGCTCTGCCTTCACGGTGCAGTCCCAGGAATAGCACCTGCCTCATACAGGAGCTTTTTTTTTTTCAATACTGAGCTGAAATTCAGGTTGGGTAATGGGTCTGAATTTGGATTGCTTGGAGGGCTAATGGCCTAACCTCCCAGGAACACTGAAGGATTTATTGTTCACAAACCCTGAAGTTAAGATGTTGAGAGTTGCACAGATATTGGGAGGAATGAACTTAGAACACCTCAGAAAGGAAGCACAGCAGTCTATTTGTAGTGTGTGATCTGCCGCTACTGAGTGGGAGTATGTGCGGTGGCTGGGGCAGAGACTTGGTACAGACTGAAGGCAGGCGGAAATACTTGGGCAGATTAATTGAAGGTTGAGCTTTAGTTTTCTGTCTCCTGAGGCATTCCCTTGTGTCCTGTACAAATTTATGTGTATTTAGAAACAGGACCCCTTTGCTATATTATCAGGCACGGAGACCCTTGGAGAAAGCTGAAGACACAGGATTGCTTAGGAAGTGCTTGCTGAACTCATGTGGCCACCTGGATTATTTACTCTCCAGATAAATGTGTCCGCCTCTCTTCTGTCAGGGCGTTGACCCTTTCCTGAGGACTCGCACTGACACAGTGAGCTTTCTGAAGAGCAGTTGCTGGTAGCTTAAGGGAACCTTTGCACTTGAGTTCCAGCTACCTGATACGGAAGTAGTAGGATACATCTGTCCTCCCAGCCAGGCCCTCCTCACCTCTACCAGAGATCGTGGAGAACTAGAGAGGAGGGATTGGGGCTTTTTATCATCACACACATTGACTAAGGGTGTTTACTGGACAGATTAGGAATAGATCATTAATTCCACGCATCAGCTGAGAAACCTTGAGGAGCCAGGGATCCAGGGAGGAGGCATTGGTCTCATCCACATCTCTGGCTGGGCTAACTTAGCTCGGCCTTTGATTCTGGTCTTGTATCTCTTTAGATTCCGCTCTTGAGTGTCTTTGACCCAGGTTGGACCGTGTGCTTTCTTGTGAGTGGAATTGAGGGGAAAACATTTGACTGGCAGTCCCATTACGACTACCCACGATGGGGGAGATGTCATTTTCCAAAACAAATCGAAGTGGACTTGCTGGGAGCAACTGGTGGCCTGGAGCATGTATGTGTGCTGCGGAAGTGAGCAAGGCCCAGCGCGTGTAAACCACATGTTTGGCCTCCTGAGAGGAGCCTCTGGCTTGGCTTTATCCCATCCCTGGAACAAGATAGTTTTCCCCAATCCCTTCCTGCTGCCTCATCTACTGAGCATTAGTGACCAGGACACATTCGCTAAGGATGTTGGTGGAGAGGGTTGGCATTGGATGTCCCAGGGTAGGTGGCTGCCTGCCTGGAGGGCAGCTCCTGTGTCTTCCTGGTTTGTGGTCATGTCTTCAGGACCTAGTACGCAGCTTGGCACGTGTGGGCTTTCTGAGATAAGTGTCTGTTGAAGGAATGAAGGCATTTCACACCCTGAATTCTCTCTAGCTCTCAACTGGTTCCCTCCCTTTCTCCATCCTTGCTCCGTGTGTCCTTTCCAGTCCTCTGATGTCTCCATCGATTAGCTCTTCCGTGAACCTCTATACTCAGCAGAGCCGTTCGTCTCAGACAGGCTGATCAGCTTTTCACTAGATACATAGCAAGACCTGGCCCCAGAAAAAGTGACTTTTGCTAAAAAATAGTATTTCCTAGTACATCTTCCCGAACATCCTGCCTTAGCCATTGTAGTTGGCTGAGTGGAGGCACCACATGTGAACTTATTTGGGAACACAGACCAAACAAAGGATCTTGGGATGAAGTGGTCATCCTGAATTATCTGCTGTCAGGTGTTCTAAGGCAGATGCGGGAGATGTGACGGATG